GAGGGTGGAGTCTGGAAACAGTGGATGTGGGGGTTGGAGCCACAGCTCTTGGGAGGAGGGGGCTGGCATTAACCGAGGTGGGGAGACTGGAGCAGGTTGGGAGGGAGGAGCAGGACTTGCTTTCAGAGAAGGTGAATGAGATGCCTGTGGAGCTCCACATGGAAATGGCAGTGGGAGGGGAGTTGTTGGGTAGGTGAGTCTGGGTTCAGGGACAAGGTCCTGGCAGGAAGTTTAAAGCTGAGTTCATCAGCATGTGGAGGGAATTTAAGCCGTGAATCACTAAGGACCTGAAGGAGGATAGAGAAGAGAAAAGGCCCAAACAGAGCCCTGGGCACCCCAGTCTTTAAAGGTCTAGAGATGAGGGAGAACCAGCAAAGACGGCTCCAAAGAAGCAATCACAGGGTTCGAAGGAGGAGCAAGAGGAAGAGTGGTGCCCTGAAGGCCAAGATCCAACAGAGAGCAAGCTGATGCCGCGGGTCTGCCTTCCCACTTTCACTCTCAGATGTTTCTTGAGCTTGGAGATGACTCCAATGCGGACTAGAACTCCTACTATTAGGGAGGGGCAGGAACAAGTAAATCGACAATTCCTGTACAGTCTGATAAGAATGGGGGAGCACTTGTGGGTTAGACAGCTTGGGGGCATCCAGTGTGGCCCCAGAGGGCCCGGGAACAGTTCTCATGGAGGAGAGTCAGGGAGGCTGAGACTCCATGTGGATCATGGGGTGGAGATCACAATGGCTTCATGGGCCAGGGGTGAGCTCTAGATTTCCACAGAAGGTGGAGTGGGCAGGCAATCCCTAGCAATTTGGATAAATGTCACAGAGAGTGGTGGGCGGCCCATTTGGGTTGGGGACTCTGGCCTTTGGGGTTGCTTGGAGACACGGAGGGGAAGAGGTGCAAGAGAGGCCATGAGAACCTTTGACCTCAAAGAGACGAAGCCTCACAGTGCAGGGTGGGAGAAGGTTGGCTGGGGAGGACCAGGGAAGGTTGCCAGGAGGAGGCGGACTTTGAGGAATGTGTGTGTATTGAGTATGCCCAGATGCACGGAGAAGCTTTCTTGGCAGAGGAGACCATACATGCAAAGGTATGGAGGCAGACGCTTGCAATATATATCCAGGAAGCAGAGCCTGATGGCAGATGAAATTAGCCAGATCTTTTGGAGTCAGACCCAAAAGGTTTCACCTCCTTGTTGCATGGTTACTGGGAAGCCATTATAGGTACCTGAGCTGTGGAGGGACCCAGTGGGATCTGGTTTTAGGAAGACAGGTCAGGCAACCATGTACAGGGTGAATTGGAAGAAAAGGGAGGGGCTCCCAGAGGTAGGAAGATACCCAGGCAGGTGCACACCCAGGTCAGGGGTGGTGATGACCTACCTCAGCAGTAGACACAGGTCGGTCCCATGTGACTCTTCCTCTGAGTTGGGCCAAGGGTTGGCAAATTGCAGTCTCAAGACCAGACTGCCCTGCAGGGTGCGGAGAGGCCAGAAATGCAGGAGTGCCACAGGCCACCGCGACCCCAGAGGACTTTGTGTAGGAGCAGCCCAGGGCCAGTTGGAGGGAAGGAGGACCACACTTCTATTTACTAGTTAAGCTCACATCGACCCAACATCTTGGGTACTTTCTGTCCACTGCCTCTATTTAACCCTCCCTGCAGCCTTAGGAGGCAGGTCCTGCTGTCATCCCATTTGCAGATGAGGCACATGAGGCTCAGAGAGGTACAAAGCTAGTATGTGATGGAGCCGTTTTGAACCTACATCTCCCTGGTTAGAGCAAGGTTTCAAGATGAGCTAAGGGACCAGAGAAGTAACCAAGGAGCTGGTTTTTAAGTACTTGCTCTGTCCAGGCACATACAAATGTCCTTATCAGGTGTGTATGATGCATTTATCCAGGCTCAGGAAGCTGCAGTGTGTCCCCAGTACCCTAGCCCCGTGGTCTAACTTCACTTACAGAGGAGAACTTTGACACTTCGAACAGATGTGTTGCTGGCCTGAAATGAGATCGAACCCAAGCTATGTTCTTTTAAGACCCTCACTCCCTCCTGCCCTGACAGGGAGGGGATGAGGAGGGGGTCCTTTGTGAGCAGCAAGTGTTCAGAGCTGGAGCTGGGGGAGTGAGCCAACCTGGGCCCACCCCAGGCTTAGGCCCAGTCCAAGCTGGCTGCCTGACTTTTGTGCCCTGTTGGTTCTTTGCACATAAATCATGGGCCTCCTTACTGAGTGGACATGTGTCTTTCCCCCGCGGGAAGCTGCCCAGGCTGCCACAGGTACAGATAGAGTTGAACTCAGGATAGGGCCTTCTTTCCTGCCCAGCCTGGCCGCTGAGTGACCTCTGGCCTGGAATGAAAGGCTTTCCAATAAGTGCCTTGCTGGCCCACAGCCCAGCTGTGTGGTAGGTGGGTGTGAGGGTGAGAGATCTACCAAGAGAAGGATTCAGGAACCTGAGAGCAGGGGCAGAATCTTGCCAACAAATTTCTAAGCAAGCTGCCTTCTCAGCTGGTGCCTCTGGAGGGTTTGGGAATGAGAGCTGGTCATGAGGAGCCCTGGCCATCTTCCTGGCCCAAGGGTCGGGGCCTTGGCTCAGGCTCAGGTTCAGGCTCAGCCCAGGGGAAGCAGGTCCCACCGGGTGAAAACACCAGGCAGCCCAGGGCAAGAATCAGAAATCAGATATTCTAGGCCACCTCTCCCTTGACCTTGAAGAATGCACAGCACGCAGTGTGGGTTTCTCTCCAAGCCTCCCCTGCTCACAGCAGCCTCCTGCCCCTGCAAGGGTGGGGCAGGGTCAGCAGTCAGATACTGTTTTCACAGGGAGCTGAAAGGCATCCTTGTCAGGAAAAACACATCACACTTGAGGGGGGCTGGGGCTCCACTCTTCCCTTTGTCTAAAGTCTTGTCTTGGGCCATCCCAGCCCTGCTCTGTGGTCCTCATCTATGACGTGAAGGGGTTGGGCAGCAGGATCTCGAAAATCCCTTCAGGCCCTTAAAAAATCAGTCTAAGGCTTGTGGCCTGGGCGTGTCTCGGACTGTCCGTGTGTGTCTCATCAGTGTCCGTGCCTGAGCTCCGCAGGAGGGCCGAGAGTTCCCAGGAACCATGTTTAGCCTTTCACCCACAGAGGAAGCAACTGGGATAAACCAGGAAAGGCTCTACTTGGTTTGGCTTTGGATGTGTTTTCCTACAAAATCCTTCAGTGTAGGAGGGGTTGACATTCTAGAAATTCAGCCCAAAGCCCTCCCAGGTGACCCCGGATTGGGAAGCCCCTCTCTACCCCTGCCCTCCCTTCCTTCTGCTCTTCCTTGCAAATCCTCCCTTCTGGAAATGGATTCTTTAACCTCCAGCCTTATCTGTCTCCCAACTTCTCCCTGATCTCCCTCTGGACATTTTCCAGGCGATGCCCTTTACCACCTGCCTCAGGAGGTAGTTAAGTGTTTGAGTTTCAGAAGGATTCTCTGCCTGCAAAGTCAACACAAGTGAGTAGTTAGGGAAGCACTAACTAAGGAGATTAGATGCTAACTGAATGCAGAAGTGCCCACAAGATGTCTGGAGATTCAAGTGGGGCTCAGCGCTGTCGGCGAGCTCTGGAGTTCCACTCGGAAGGCCGAGCCTGCTATTCTCAGTGCTTTGAGCCCCTTGCAAGGAGGACATTGAAGGAACAGTTACTTCTCATAAGCTACCCTCTGGTTCCTAAAGGAAATTGCTGCCTTCTGCAATGACTATAGTAGTAAGGAGTTGATGGGAGGCAACAGCCACCTCTTCCAGGAAGCCCTCCAGAAGACACCAGGTGCATCCCTTTTACCCTCCCTTCCTCCTTCACAGTCCTCTACTCTTCAGTCTCTGGTTGTGCCACATAGGGAGGTCTTCCTCATCACTCTTATCTCTAGTTTGTGGTGTGGAAAATTCATTTTTGCACAATTTTCTCAGCATTTATTCCCAGGACAAGATCGAAGTCCTGATGGCAAAGGGCCAGGCCTCATAGCTCATGCGTGTGTACTCACTGCCCAGAGCAAGCATCACTATGAAAATCTCTGGTTTGTGCATTTGTGTGGTTTCTTTAGCCAAACTTTCTTTCCTTTTTTTTTTATGGAAATAAATAAAAATAATTCATGATTGAAGAAATCAGAAAGCCTGTAATGCCAGCGTTGGGACTGACCACAGAATCATGTCCTGCCAGACAGTTCACATCCACATTTGACATACAATAAAGAAATTATACTGCACTTTTAATTTGCTTATACAATCTACTTTTTTAAAATGTTTTTATTAATTTTTTTAGAGAGAGAGAAGCATTGATGTGAGAGAGAAAAACACCAATTGGTTGCCTCCCTTACATGCCCCAACAAGGGACTGAACCCACAATCTATGCATGTGCCCTGACCTGGAATCGAACCCCACCACCTTTCGATGTATGGGACAATGCTCCAACCAGCTGAGCCACACTAGCCAGGGCAAATACCTCTTTTATATTTGAGCCACAATTTATATAACTAATCCCATATTGTTGGACCTGGGATTTTCCCCCCATTATATATGACACTGCAATAAATACCTTCCTAAGTATATATTTATGAAGATCTTTGTATTTTTTTCTTAGATGGAATTAAAGAGCCGGAGGGCTGGCATGTTTGTTAAGACTGTGTAAACCAAATGTCAGTTCACCCTTATCCCCAGCGTCACAGAGTGGTAGGTGCCCGACTGGCACTGATGGCGGACTTGCTGGCTCCTATCAGTGGCCCCAAGGCTGGGAAGTGTCTCAGCCCATGAACTCGGTCTCCCCGCCTGCTGCCTGCCCTTTACTGCCCTGAGGAGGAGGAGCCCCTGGGGGACACTGGGTCCTGGGCTTGCCTTCCAAGGATGGTGGTACTGGATTCTCCCTGGATTGTTCCTGAGCTGGCCTTGGCCTTGGAGACTGCCAGGCATTTAGAGGAGCCTGGGGAATGGTGGCTTGTGTGGCTGGATGGGAAGGGTAAGAATGACCCTGGGTCACGCCTTCGATCTTCCGTGCTACAGGAGGCCTCAGCGGGGCGACGGTCATTGACTCCCTTGATACCCTCTACCTCATGGAGCTGAAGGAGGAGTTCCAGGAGGCCAAGACCTGGGTTGAAGAGAACTTCCACCTGAATGTGGTGAGTCAGAGCCCTTGGGGTGTTAGGGCCAGAAGCAGCTGGAGAGGTCATGGCTCCACCCTGTCATCTCTGAGACCCAGAGGTGTGGAGGCTCTGGCTCCAGGTTGCCAGCAGAGCAGTCCAGCTATGACCCTGCCTTCCCCCTCCCTGGGGCTCCAGGCACGTTGCTCACACCCAGGAAGACCCTTCTAGGGCTGCATCTGTCACAACAGCAATAGGGGAAGTGACTGTGGAGAAGTGACTAATCTGCTCAGAGCGGCTTCTACCTGGACCCCCCGCCCCCCACACCCTGCGGCCCTCCTGAGCTAGCTGAGAGGCCCATGACCTGGTCTGAACCCTCTTGGTTTCCAGCCTCGCAGGTACCCCTGGTCAGGGACCAGAACCTTAGGGAGGAGATGGTAATGTGTCTGGATGGCACAAAACCCTTAAATACCAGACCCCACCCCCACTGATCTCCCAGCCCAGACTAAAGTAACCGACCCGTCCTGGAGGCCCCTGCTCAGCATGGGGAGAGGTTGCTTAGATGGATTTGGGGAGCAAGAAATCACGGCAGATAGGAGGGGGGATCCGTCAGGCTCCACGAGTGAGGGTCCTGGGGGGAATGGGAACCGCCCCTGCAGCTTATGGCAGAAGTGAGGCCAGTATCAGCAGAGATACCAGCGGGAGAGTCTGGGAGGCAACGCTGCAGGGGTGCTTCCCTGGCTCAGCAGGTGCCTGGGGGAGGCCAGCCTCCCTGGGCCTTCGTTTCCCCGCTTTAAGACGGAAATGACACACCAGCAGCAGTAATGATGCCCGGCGTGCAGGCTTGCGAGCTTTAACTATCACAGAGGTTGTAAAAAGCATTTTATAACCATAAAGTCCAACACGGATGTAAGTGGTGCCGTTATCGCCATCACCATCAGGATTATTTTGAGGCTTGTTATGACTTCCGATGGTCTGTGTGAGGTGAGGCGTTTAGAGTCCCATTTCCCCCTGCATCGAATGGAAGAAAGGCAGAGTGGAGGAGGGAGGTGCTTCGTAGACCCACCTTGTTCTCCGCAGATGGTGGGTAGAGAGTGGGCATCAGGCAGCTGCCCGAGGAGCCAGATGGGGACATTCAGGCAGGCTGGGCAGGTGAGGGGGTTTCCCTGGAAGAAAGCAAGACATGGTCACTGCCCCTCTCTGAGCCTTGGCTTTCTCATCTGAAAAATGGGAGTGATGGCCTCACCCTGCATTGTGAGGCTACAGGAGAGTATGGCTTTGCAAGTGCTCCGTCAAGGGGAAAGCTCTCCCAGATAAAGGGATGATCACTGTTCTTGTCAGTAATAAAAGGCCATGACGTGGGAAGTGCACCAAGGAGAGCCCTGGGGGAGGGGGGGCAAAGCGGGCACCTTTCTGAAGCCACTCCTGGCACTGGGCGGCACCGCACCTGCACCACTCGGCCTCTCCCCTCTGCCTGCTCAGGACGAAGGCACCGGGAAAGGGAAGGCTGAACATCTTGTTCAAAGTCCCAAAGCCAAGGACGTGGCGCAGGCAGATTTTCACCCAGATCTGGTCCTTGGCATGATGCCCAACACCCCTGATTTACAGACGGCATTTCAGAGAGAAAATAACAATGATTCGGGAAGGTTGGGCGTGCCCCAGGGCTCCAGCAGAGAAATTGCTGTTTACCTATAAGCATCTGCTTGGCGCACCTCCCTCTGTCTCAGCCCTGCCCCGGCTGCCCCAGAACCTCCTCAGAGACCCCTCCTCTTGCCCTGCCACCTCAAGGAAGGGTCACACCATCTTCCTGCTAAACCGAGGCTGCCGGGCGGGGCTAGAGGAAGATTGCCTCCCCTCAGGCTAAGCTTCAGTCAGCAGCTCGCCATGTGGGTTCTTAAGCTCCTTGGAGAGCAGCCAGGCAGAACTTTGCTCTGATGGCCTCGGGCAAGGGCTGGGGAAGGAAGCCAAACCCGGTGTTTATTTGGGATGTTGTAAATGTGCAGTGGCCGCCCGGTAGGTGCCTTTGTTCTCAAAACCACCACCACTGCCTCTGGAACCGGCCCAGGTGCAGCCAGATCAGCAGGGGGGTCGGGCACAGTGGAGTGTGACTGGTCTCAAGGGCCTGGCTGCCCCTGAGAGCTCAGCAGGCATCTCACAAGTGCCCCACTGCCCTGCCCTTTCTTTCTGCCCTGCAGAGTGGAGAAGCATCTTTGTTTGAGGTCAACATCCGGTACATCGGAGGACTCCTCTCGGCCTTCTACCTGACAGGAGAGGATGTAAGTTGGTGCTTCCAGGCACCTGGACCATCCAGGCTGGAAAGGGCTTGGGAGAACATCCATCCCATCCCCTCACTTCCCCGCTGAGGAAACAAGGATCCAAGAGGAGTTGCCCAGGGCTACCCATGCCCCCCACCTCCGTGATGCCACCTGCAACCTCTTCTGTCTGGTGCTTCTATTCTGCTACCCTGATGGTAGTAAATTCTCTAAGGGCGACGACTAGGTCTGCTCACCCTCCGTGCAGCTCCTTGCCGGGCGTGCAGCAATACCTGGGCTCAGTGTGGGCTTGCAGGGTACTGGGCGGGGTATTGCAGGTGCTCATTCTCAGGACTGATGGAGCCAAGACCATTGTTTCGCCATTTCTACCCAGGGGCCCCTAGGTCTTGCTCTATACTCCACAACCACCCCTTGCCTTTCTGGGCCAGACACCCGCTCCAGGTCTCGGGGGCAGTAGGGGAGATGGAGCAGCCACGTGTTGTAAATACCAGGTGCACTGCGCTGCCTTCCAGAAGGCCGTGGGCACAGTCAGACGCCAGTTCCTCCTCCCCACACCACCCCTGCCTGTGGCCTTCAGCAAGTCCCTTTTCCCGTCCCTGGGCCTCAACTCCTTCCCCACCACGGGGCTGGCCCTCATCCCCCCGAGTCAACAAGTCTTGTGAATGGGGCTGGTCCTTTGGCCTGGGCTCTCTCCTTTCCTCACACTTCCCCCTCTCTGTCCACTCAGACATGCGTAATTAAGCCTGTGGGGGGCCGTGGAGGTGAGGTCAGCCAAGTCCCACTTCACCTCTACTGATAGCTCTTGTCTGAGAGCCAGTTCCCCTTCACTTCATTTAAGGCACACGGGCTGAAGCCGAGAATTTAGAGGCGGCGGGCATGCGCTTATCTCTCCAGTAGCTTTAGGCCTCTCTCCATCAAACGTAATCTCCTCAGTGGAGATTACCGCTTGTACCAATTTGTCCCCAAATAATCGTAGATGGGAGCCCGGGGCTTGGAGCCACCCAAGGCCTGAATTTCATTTGAAAACCCCAGGACAGGAAATGACACATGGAGCGGAAAAAGCATTCATGTTCTTCGCGGGCCCTTGCCCACCTCTCGTCTAGGTTGTGGGAGGAGGAGGCGGGTGCAGGAAGGGGAGGCAGTGATTCAGGGGGCTCACGGGGGCTGGTGTGGGGGCCAGCGGCTCAGGATGGAGCTGGTGCTCCCCAGACCTGCTGTCCCTCCCTCCCTGCTCTGAGGTGTCTGGGATTCTGAGAGCTTGTCCTGAGGCCTCGGCTCCCTAGAGGGACTGTCAGCCTGTCTTTCCAGGATGCAGGCCAGACAGTGGGATGTGGATAGGAGCCCCTGTGACTTAGAAATAGTTTAAAAGGCCTAGGAGAGGCCACGTGGCTCTGAGTCCCTGAGCAGGCAGGCTCCTGCCTCCAGCCGTGCCTTCCTAGTCCCCCCGTCCCCAGCACCTCCACACGGCAGCGATGGGGCGTGTGCACCGTGTCCTCGTCCCTCCAACAGCCCATGGAGTGATGTCTTCATCGACTCGCAGCTGCAGGATCTGAGACTTAGAAGTCACTTGCTCAGGCCACAGGCTGGGAGGCTATTTTGGGTCAATTTATGACCCTGTGACCTCTCTGCCATGGGCCCTCGTTCAGCCTGGCCCAAGGTCACCCTCCTCTCAGTCCTTAATTTCCCACACAGAAGCGCCTGTGGAGTGAGGTTATAAAATCCCCCATGAGTATTTGTGGAATGGATGGTGAAAGAGACCTCACCACCCCCCGACCCCCCGGGCTGAGGCCTTTCTTTGCTTGAGGGAACCTGTGGGAGAAGAGGCCCCTGCTGGGTAGCCAGCCCTCCAGACACTCCCACGGGAACCACAAGCACAGCCACAGCCACACCAGGTGGCACTGACATAGCGCTTTACAGTTTATATAGCACATTCACTGTAACACTCTCTTATTTGATGTCTAGAAGGACCCTGTGAGCTGGGTAGCAATACTTACATCCGATAAAATAGACCTCAAAGTGAAGGCCATAACAAGAGATAATGAAGGCCACTTCATAATACTAAGGGGATGGATACAAAAAGAGGATATAACTCTGGTAAACATATATGCACCCAATACAGGAGCATCCAAATACATAAAAAAACTTCTGGACAATATCAAGGGAGAGAGCGACAGCAATATAATCATAGTAGGGGACTTTAATACCCTATTGACATCATTGGCTAAATCTTCTAGACAAAAAAATCAACAAGGAAACAACAATCCTAAAGGACTCACTAGATCAGATGGAACTGACATCTTCAGAACATTTCACCCCAAAGCTACAGAATATACATTCTTCTCAAGTGCACATAGGACATTTTCAAAGATAGACCACATGTTAGGACATAGGCTAAGTCTCTACAAATTCAAGAAGATTGAAATCATATCAAGCATCTTCTCAGATCACAACGGCATGAAATTAGAAATCAACTATAATGAAAAGTCAAAAACAGTAGAAGGACCCTGTGAAGCAGCCAGGGCCGTCACCATTCCGTTGTGCGGATGAGGCTCAGAGACAGTGCATGGTTTACCCACGGCCACATGCCTGCTCAGTGACTCCCAGAACAGTGCCCGTTTCACTCTACAGCATATAATTCTTGCTGGTTTCTTTCATCTCTGTCTGGAGCCTGTAGGCCACTGCCCGTTGCTTACCATGGCTGCCTGAGGCCTTTCTGTGTTGGAAACACAGCTTGGTGTCCTGGAAAAGAGTCACTTCATAGCTCCTCATCTTGGGCAAATTGCTTTGCTGAGACTCAGTTTAGTCCTTCTCCAAGTGGGTCAGCACCTTGCCCACGGCTGCTGCAAGGGATGAAGGCCCTGGAGATGAGACACCTGGCACACTGTGATGTTGTGACTTATAAGAAATAGGTATTTGGTCTTCATCCTGTTTCTGGCACAGAGTTCCTAAAACCATAGGCATTTCCTAAGCGGTGACAATGATAAAAGTGCCTTTTGTTATGTTACTGAGGTGACTTTTGGCCCCAACTAGGATGGAGGCTGGTTGCCAGGAGTAACAGTCATGTGATTAGAAGGTTGGAGCCTTCAGGCCTTCAAGGAGGGGAGAGGGGCTAGGATGAATCAGTAGCCCGTGGCCATGGTTCCCTCAGTCATGCCTGTGTAATGAAGTCTCCATGAACACCCAAAGCACTGGGTTCAGCAAGCTTCTGGTTGTGAGCAGGTGGGGAGCTGGGGAGAGTGGTACTCAGAGCACAGGGGCTCCACGCCCTCCCCGTTTCTTGCCCTATGTACCTCTTCCATCTGGCTGCTCCTGAGTTATATCCTTTTATAATAAACGGGCACAGTAAGTAACACGTTTCTCTGAGTTCTGTGGCTGCTCTAGAAAAACAATCAAACCCAAGGTGGGCTCCTGGGTGACACCTGCTCTGCGCTGGCAGCTGAAGAAGGGGGTGGGCGGTCTTGTAGGCCTGAACCCTTAACATGGAACCTGATGCCCTCTCCTTTGTGGACAGTGTCAGAGTGAGTTGAATTCTTAGACGTGGAGCCGGGGTCTGGAGACTTGCTTGGTGGTGTGGGGGGACTTCCACACGCACATGGGAATTGGGTTCTGGACCCCTTACACACCCACTCACTTCCAAGATGACAAGGAGGAAAGTGGTCCCACTCTCGTCCACACACACTCATTCAGCATCGTCCCGGGGAGCAGAGACCTGCACTGCCGGCCGCAGCAAGACCTTCCGCAGGACCGAAGGAGAAGGCGGGGTTTGCTGGCTGAGGAGAGCATCTAAGAGGAGGACGCGGAGTCCTGCGGGCACAGGGCAGCAGACACAGCCTGGAGCTCAGCCTTGGGCTCCGGCTCGGTGGGTCCCTGTGTGTCTCTGGCTCAGCCTCCTCAAGAGCCTCACAGGAGAGCTCTTAGTTGTTGCTAAACCAGTGGGTTCTGTAGTGACAGGAGACTTTGAAACCTGGATTCTAGACAAGCTCCCAGAAATTCTGACAGAGGTGTCCCCGCGCCCACTTCTGGGACCTCCTGCCTGGCACTGACATTAGCATCTTCTCTTGCCCGGCACTGCCAGGCCTCATGGAGGCTGGTTGCCAGGAGTAACAGTTCTTTCCTCCTGCTCCTTCCTCCTACTCCTCCCTCACCCCTCCCTCCCCCTTCCTAAGCAAGCACCACACCCACCACTCCGCTCTGAGGCTTCTCACCCACTTCCCACTGCAGTTCCTAAACAGCTGACTCAGCATGAGTAAACTGTGTGTGTTGGGGTTGGGGACCTCAAGATGACTTCGTTTTGCAATGACACGCAGGAGGTCAGCGAACTGGGTCACCCTCGAGCTGCAGAAGTAAAAGGAAACGTGTTGTCCCACTGGGAGCGGTTGCTTAGGGACTTGCATCTCATCTTTTAAAAGATACATGACGTTTAATGTGGGTTTGTTTTGTGATAAAAATGGCACAGAAAATAGATAAGGCACGAGAAGGAAATAAATGTCCTCTGTGAGCCTACCCCTCCCAGGAGACACCTGCTAATATTCTGGTGCATTCCATCCTTTCCCCAAGTGTCCACATGAATACGACTTTTACAAAAGTTGAATGACACTATTTTGACATACTTTTCTCTTAATACCTTATAAACCCTTTCTTTGCTATTAAATATTCTCCTATAGCATCACTTCAGTGGCTGCACAGTGTTCCCTTGCAGGGATGAGCTGTCATTTAACCACTCCCCTATTGTTTGCTATTTAGAGTATTTCCATCTTCTCCTCTAACAATGCTGGAATAAACAGCCATAAGGTTAAATCTTCACAACATCCTTGATTATTTATTTCCTTAGAATAAATTCCTGCGAGGGACACTGCTGAGTCAGGAGGTCACAGATGCTTTTGAATTAATCAGAAGAACAGTTTGACAGGTCAGAGCCTCGGGCAGGGACCCTGAGGCCTGGGGCCTCCTGGCGGCTCCCCGGCTGTCATATGGGTGGTTCAGGGTGAGCCGTTCTCCTTCCCCTTATTCCCGTCGATACAGTGGAAGCAGGAGGCAGAATCGGAAGGGGAAAGGGAAAGGCCCTTCCCTGGTCTACAGGTGGAAAGGTGTTGCCCAGGAGGAGGCCAGGGTTCACCGAGAAGCACATAGATGCCAAGCGGTGGGACACAGCCTGGAACCGGGTGGGGCCTGGGCTCCCCATCCAGTGCTCTTTCTGTTCTGTACACACTGTTTCCCACGAGCACAGCCTGTGACAGCTGGCCCCACGGTGTGGGCAGGCACAGACCCTTTGACCCACTGCCCTGATTGCTTCATCTTCCCAAGGGCCACCCAAATCACAGTTATGGTCACTGAGCCTTCATCGTAGTCCTGACACTGTGAGTGCTTTGTATCTCTTACTTAATTTGTATTCCTCCCAATAACCCTCCGAGGAAGGCAATATTGTCATTATTTTACGATCAAGGAAATGGAGGCTCAGAGAGAGGTGTCTCACCTTGGACCACAGAGCCAGGCTCACACGCCGGCCTGTCCCACCGCAGAGCCAGAGGCAGTGCCACCTCCGCTCTGGGGCTGGCAGCGTGGGCGGTTTACCCACCAGTGCACCCTCTTGCAGCGACTGCACCCACCCCGCCCAGATTCACAGTGTCCTTTGGCCCTTCCAGGTGTTCCGAATGAAGGCCATCAAGCTTGGAGAGAAACTCCTGCCGGCCTTCAACACCCCCACGGGAATCCCAAAAGGTGTCGTGAACTTCAAAAGGTAGGACACGTTTGGCTGTATCTTTATGGAAACTGAGGCACAGAGGGAGAGGGGACCATACAGACCTCTGGAACCACAGCCGGTCAGCGGCAGAGTGAACACTGGCCTTCACGGGGCTCTCCTGGGCAGGTGTTTGTCACCAAGCCTGGTTCTTGGGGTTTAGGACACCCAAGACCTGATCTTCAGGGCTGGGGAGGGACAGCTGTCCCCGTGATTGTCCCCCAACTCCGCCTTGACTCCGCCCTCCAGGTGCCCTCCCACCCAGCCAGGGGCAGGGGCCAGTCAGGCACGCCATCCCCTCCTGCCCTGAGAAGGTACCAACGCTGCCAGGGGGGGCTCAGGACCCTGGGCAGAGGGACTCCTGGTCTGCCGCCCCCACCCTCAGGGCTGGGTCCCAGGAGCCCAGAGTCAGAACACAGAGGGGCTCGAGGAGTGTCAGACCCTCCGAGGAGGCAGGTATGTGACTGGCTGAGGTCACATGAGCCAGTAACTGACTGTCCGAAGACCCGAACTCAGGAGTTCATAATTTTTAATAATGCTATTGAGACTTCCCCTCTATAAAATAATAAAACCTCATTGCAGAATATGTGGCTTATATAAAAAATGCTGGATAAGACTGAAAAAATCACATGTGGTCCCACTAATGAAAGAATCCACCAGTGGTGTTTCTTTCCTTAGCTCCGTCTTAAAACATTGATTTTTATTGGCCGCTTTCATCATTTCCCCTCCTGATCTGTTTGAGCTCGGCGTGCCAGCATTTTGAAAAACCCTAACTTAACTCTGGTGCCGTGTCACATATAGAAATTTTTTGATATTTGCAACCAGAGTAAAACAAAGGGGTATATTTTTGGTATTTACTTTATATATTTAAATGCCATTTAACAAAGAAAAATCAACCAAAAAAATGAGTTCGCGTGTCACCTCTGACACACGTGTCTTAGGTTCACCATCACTGAACTAGGGTCTCTCTGGGCCGTCACTAAGTCAGAGCCAGAGCGACACAGCCAGAGCCGGGGGGCCAGGGCTGCAGCTCTGTCCAGCTCACCTTTCCCCTCAGCGTTCCCCTCCCGTGGGCTAGGAGTGTATTTATATCCACCCATTTTCCAGATGTGGCAACTGAGACGCAGAGAGGGAAAAGGACAGGGTCAGTCAAGAAAACTAGTGGCCCGGCCAGCTTTAAGATACACTGGGAAGCATGAGTCTTGCTCCTGAACACCTCAGATGTGCCCTGTCTCACCTTCTCTCACTCTGTTGCTTCCCTGGACTGCCCATCTCTCACAGCTTCTCTGGCCATCAAAGCCCAGCTCAGATGGCACCTTATCCTTAAGCCAGAAGCGTCTGGGCCTGTCCTGGCCTCCAGGCACGTTATCGCCATTCTCCTGGCCCTCGTCACACTTGTCTTCATGCTCCCCCCACCCCCCGCAGGAGCTTCTCAAGGGCAGGATCCACGTCCAATTCTTTGTGCCTTTGACAAATAGGGCCCAGGTTCATTTCCAGTCAAGGGCATGTACCTTGGTTGTGGGCACATCTCCAGTGGTGGGGGGGGGGGGGGGGGGGCGGGGGGGAGAGATGAATAACAACAGTGGTCCTACCATTTATTAAGCACTTACTATGTGCCTAGCATTGTGCTGGGAGTCTCCACACATTGCCTCACCAAACTGACTGCTCACAGCAATCCTTTGAGGGTATTCATATTATCCCCGTTATGAAAACAGAGTCTCAGAGAGATGAAGTAGCTTGCCCAAGTTCTCATAGCTAATAGATAATGGGGCTAAGATTTAAACTCATTTTGTTACGATTGATCGGAAAGCTCTGCTCTTGCGGCCTGCCAGCCCGCCTTCAGGCGGGAGCCCTGCTGCCCCTGAGCTGCGTGGGGTGGACCCCTGGGAGACCTTGGAGAAGCACCCAGAGAGCCCTCTGGGGCCATCCTCGAGCCTCGAGGCCCTCCTGGAGCCCCAGGCCGGGAGGAAGGCTATAACATTTCCATCCACCGGACTCCCCTCCACCTCCCGCAGTGATTTATCTAAGGGCTCTCAACCCAACGGGCTTCAGCCCGCTGTCTGGGC